CTGTGAGGACAGATCTGCACGTTCCCCCCTCCCCAATAGCTAGCAATCCAAAAGAGTCCAGTGGAGCCTGAGCGGTGGGTGTTGCCTTCTGACACACTTCCCGTGATGTCAGGGAGTGTGGCATACGCAAATAAGTTATGCTAATGAGTTTTACAATTGGGTCATTGCTGGAGAAGAGAAAGAGCAAGTCAAACATTTTAAATATTTAGGTATTTATTTTCAATATAATACGACTTGGTCTACCCACCGTAAGTATGCAGTGACATCAGCTAACATTAGTGCATCGGCTATAACACTTTTTTTATGGCAGAGGTAACCAATTTGTGCCAGCTGCCACAAAAATTTTCAAGGCCAAAGTGACCTCACAATTATTATATGGCATCCTGATTTGGATTAGAGCCTTTGAATGTGCTACTGAACGGACCCAATCCAAATTCCTGCGAAAAATTTTGGGTACGCCAAAATGTGTTTCATATGCAGTTATATGCTTGGAAACTGGCATCTCTGTAATCGAAACTAGTGCATGGCTTATGACTGTCAAATTCTGGCTATGCTTGCATTACAATCTGGAACCTGGGAGCTTTATCTCTCAAATGCTCTCTGAATCCAATATGTGCAGCATATATTGAGGGGAAAATTAAAGCAACGGGTTTATGTATAGAATCACTGTCTATGCTGACTTTCACTGCTGCATTTCATCAAATTAAAAACAGAATGCTGGACATTGAATGCCAGAAGTTATTCAGTCAGGCCAACAAAACCTGCTCCCCGCCAAGTCTTGAGATTCCCCATATTACTGGGGAAATGGCCCCCTATCTATCTTCTTTGTAGGTGCCACAGCAGCACAGAGCATTCTCCCTTGCCAGATGTAATGCCATGCCTTCTGCTATTTTTTATGGCAGATTCAATAAGATAGCCTACTCAGCCAGATACTGCCCTTGCAATAAAAAATGTGTGGAGTCCATCATTCATGTTCTTCTCTATTGTCACCTGTATACAGATTCACGTTATATGCATTTACATTCTGTTCTAGTTAGGATGAGGGACTGTTCTGATGCATTCAAGGTCTATAGACTTTTGAACGATTTCTCCTCTAATGTCACCGAGAAGGTGGCTAAGTTTGTTAACTCTGTTACAAAGGTATGCCAAGGGATCCGACAGAAATAATCCTATATTTACACTGATGTATATGTATGTTGTGGTTTTAACTTACCTTTTAAACTGTATTTACTTGTATCAATTTTTTTCTATGCCAATAAGGGCTACTTAACTTAACTTACCAATATGATATAGCGATACAGCAAGGTAGTAGTATGTAGCCTGTTTTTAAAATCTTCTACTTCCAATGGTGTGGTAGTTGCATTTGTACTATTTCTTACTGCCAGATACATGTGGCCTCACTATAGAGTGACTGCAGGGGCAACGGGTACATTTAGGCTGGGGAAGAAGCAGATTTCCCTCTAGTTACAAAATGTGGCACACCCATGCTGAAGAAATGTCATTTGAAATAAATTAATCTGGGACACCTGCTAAATGCAGTTACATAGAAGAGATTCTTCTAAGGAGTAGCTCAAAAGTTTGAAGCCTGGAAAATATAGGAGAGCTCAGTTGGCTTGTTCAAAGAGAAAACTTCCAAAAGAATGAATGTTTGGTATAATTGATATTCTTCAGCATTATCAACAAATTGGAAGACTATGAGGACTTTTTCCCAGCGTTTCAAGCTCTTGTTGAGGACTTGCTCTGTGTTCTAGGTAGGTGATTTTCTGCAGCTTGCAACACTGTGCCTACACATTCCAGTACTATTCTTAGTTGAGTGGCTACAATTCCCCCTTCCCCCTTTTACCCAGGAACCAAACTGCTTAATGTTCCTGTTTGATATGCAGCTACTGTTGTAGCCTAGGAAAGTGGGAAGCAGAGAGGCATTAACTGCATTTTTGAAATCCAGGACTGACTTGTGCTTATTAAAAGTTATACTTAATTCAGTAGAAAAGAGCCAGAGTCCAGTAGCACTTTAAAGACTAATGAAATACATGGCGGGGTATGAGCTTTCGTGAGTCACTGCTCACTTCTTCAGAGGCAGATAGAATGAGAGTCCATAAATAGGACAGATGGACTCCCGTTCTAGCTGTACCTGAAGAAGTGAGCAGAGACTCACAAAATGACGGGGAGCGGTGGCACATAGGATTTATCCTCTGGTTACAGTAACATCTGAACTGAACAGAACTGCTGTCAGTTCTAGCCCCACGCTGGTGTGAGCTACCAGCCTTGTCCCCAGCTCGCCATCCACCCAGCGGTTCGAAAGCTTCGGCGAGTAGATAAAATGGTTACCACTCCTTAGAGAGGGTGGGCACATTGAACCCCTCCGGTGGGGGGAGGTGTTAGCCGGCGAAACGGACTGTCCAGCTCAGAAGCCTGGAAAGATCTCTTCGGCATTAAGAAGCCTGCGATGGGCCAATCCGGCCAGGCGAGGACGTCCTTCTTCACCCAAAGAGTGATTAACACTTGGAATTCACTGCCACAGGAAGTGGTGGGTGCTACAAGCATGGATGGCTTCAAAAGGGAATTAGATAAGCATATGGAGCAGAGGTCCATCAGTGGCTATTAGCCACAAGGTATAGCTAGGGGCTCTGGGGCAAGTGATGCTCTGTCTTCTTGGTGCTTGGGGGGGGTCAACAGTGGGAGGGCTTCTAATGTCCTGGCCCCACTGCTGGACCTCCTGATGGCACTGGTATTTCTGGCCACTGTGTGACACAGAGTGTTGGACTGGATGGGCCTTTGGCCTGATCCAACATTGGCGTCTCTTATGTTCTTATGTTCTTATGTTCTACTGCTACAGACAGACCAACCCATCTTGATCTATAAATTCAGTTTGTATTACCCAGGTGGACAATATTTAATTGCCTTTATCTGTGTCCTGCTCACTTCAGAGGCAGGCCATGTGCATTTGTCCAACATCCTCACAACCAACCCTGTGAAGGGAAGATCTGGTAGGAAGACTGACTTGCTGAAGGATTTATATTCAGTACATTTCATAGGTAATGGCTAGAGCTGGTGTATTTATGTTGTTCAGCAAAAAACAAAGGAAGCAATACTCTAACACACCTGTTCAGTTCTTGTTAGTAGATATGTAGAGTGCCAGCCTTATCTGCCAAAGACCTCTACCTTATTCTTAATTTAGCTGTAGCCCGCCTTTTCTCAGGGTATACAACTGCAATTTAATGCTTAATAGGTGGAATCCTATCCCTTGCAGTTACACCAGGAATTTAGAAGTAGCTGAGAACTTGAGTTTGAAGGATGCAAC